GCCTCGCGCTGCTTATATGTATCACTAAGAGATAAGTAAATACACACGGAGGGTGTGGCGTCATACGTCACAGCCCAGCGACGTCTGTCCAGGGGAGTCGCCTCATTTTTGTTGTCTCTTTGGAATAAGGCTGCGCGGCCCTTTAAGATGAACTACAGCTTGGGAGAAATTCAGCTTTTTCATATGTTCAAGAGGTCTAAGATGTTTAAACCTCATTCGCAGATTCGTCTCTGCAAATTGCTTTAGTCAGATATAATGATTTGGAAAAGAAACACTGATCATTGGTGCAGTCATAAATGATAGGATGAAGGATTCTAAAGATGTAAGTATATGTACGTAAGGATAACTACGGGACGAAAGGGCTTAATTTAACGAATCATAAACAACACATAATAATCCGAGTGGAAATTCAAAGAAGGAGCAGCAAGTATTCCATCAACAGTTGTAGTATTTTCTTGCCAAAAAACATGCACAGCAATGCACAACGCAATGTCACCTGCCGTGCATGCGCAGACTGCAGGCGCGGACTCCTTACCCACGACCTCAGAATCCCAGAATGCCACGTAATTTCCATCCCAGAAAAAGCGAGCTGCCCAAGACACATAAAACTGCCAGGGCAAAAACGCTGCTCTATTTCCGGAGCGGAGGAGCGTGTCTACGGCGCCTCATGATCTCATGCGCGACTCGCGATGTGTCGCTGAAACAGGCAGCGCGACGGGAATAGCGGCCGCGTGGCGCGCTGCCAGGCCGCTCGGGCCGCTCGAGCGTGTGTGTGCTTCTGCGAGTCTGTGAGTGCGTCTGCCTGCTGGGGGAGGGGGGCTGCGAGTGCGTTTGGGTGCGTTTGTCTGTGTGTGTGTATGCTTGTGCGTGTTTGTGAGGACGTGTGTGTGGTTCTGTTTATATGTGTGAGTGTGTGTCTGCGTGGCTTTATGTGTATGTGTGTTTAGGTGCAGTTTTTCGGTATGTTTTGTGTATATTATATTTATCTACCTTCTGATTTACATGTCATGTATCTAGCTGTTAAAAATATTTGTCTATATATCTGCTAATACGTAACTATTTATATATGTAAATTTTCTTTCTGCTAACTATACCTAACTATACTATTGTATATCCTTCAGTTGATCATTGAAAGATCTCCCCATCCACCCTAAAACTGTAAATCTATTAACATTTTTGCTTGATTATTCCTCCAGATATATAGCGTTAGTCATAATCAGATGCAGCACTGAATGGGAGTCATTTTACGCACCATTACTGCTGCAGCGTGGACCAAGTATAATAGCAGTCTAATAGAAATATAAAAAACGTCCTTCCACCTTACCTAGCCCGGATAACTCTACGGGGCACGCGGACCTTTTCATTTTCGTCTTGCCACAAGAATCTCTTTCAGGTCCTTCAGTCAGTACTCAATCAGATATACGATGGAAAGATAGGAGGACATAGATATGTCTATCTACCTGTATATCTATCCGCCCCACCCACATATATATACATGTATAATATATATAAATATATATATATATATATATATATATATATATATATATATATATACATACATAAATATATGTATATATGTGTATATATATATATATATATATATATATATATATATATATATATATATATATATATATATATATGTGTGTGTGTGTGTGTGTGTGTGTGTGTGTGTGTGTGTGTGTGTGTGTGTGTGTGTATACGTGTGTGTGTGTGTATGTATATATATATATATATATATATATATATATATATATATATATATATATATATATATATATGTATATATATACATATATATACACATATATATGTACATATATATATATATATATATATATATATATATATATATATATATATATATATATTTATACATATATGTATATGTATGTATATATGTATATATATGTATTTATACATATATATGTATGTATGTATGTGCCTATATATAATATATATATATATATATATATATATATATATATATATATATATATATATATATATATATATATATATATATATATATATATGGGGGATAAGACGGTTGATAAGACTAGCTGATCTATTTGCTGAACAAATAACATGCATTTCGAAAGCCGAGAGACGTGCAGCTGTTGCTGATTAAGAAAGTCGCCAGGTAGATACTAGTTTTACATTACCCACGTCCTGTGTGTGAACACTTATTTTGTAAGAAACTTTTATATCACATCCACTACTTTACTCAAATAAGTCAATTCAGTTTAGACAACACCAAAGAAACGCATCTAAAAAGTAAAAATGATAAAGAGATAGAGGCAAGCAATTCAACAGTAACTTAGATTTTCAATAAACATAAAACAATGCGATAAGCTTGGTAAAATCCCTCCTTGTGAGATTATCCCCATTTGCCTTGTACTTCTGCGCGTCTGAAAGGAAAGAAAGACTCTTTGGGTTTGGAAGTACAGTGGATTTAGCCGATACTTCGTGTACAGGAATATATCCGAGATTATAA